ATTTTTTAATCATAAAAATTCAAGTGCTCAGTGCACACCAAACAGGGCACAAAAAAGGTGCAAAGACTAAATATTTTTGATATCATATCATAATCAGTGTTACAGATTACGCATCATTTCTCATTTGTAGATCATTTACTGCACTATTTCTAAATTTTTTTCACCTTTGTTATTTTTTTCTCATCAAAAATATACATTCACGATAAAAAATAATCCTCAAAAATACACGAGTTTCACAATTTGAGTTGAATTACTGAAATAAATGAACTTTTCCACGACATTCTAATTTATTGAGATGCACCTGTATACATACACAAATTTACTAAAGACTTTTTTGAAAGAAAAATACCATATCATTTTAAATATGTATTTCAAAGTACATATAGAAACATTAAAAGTCCCTTCATACTTAAAAAAGGCCGAATATGAATTCTCATAATTCCTGGTGAGGTTGTTAAGCATGTTAAGGATATGAGTATTTCAGTCACCGGCTGTGCGGAGGTACACAGTGGCCCCTTTAACTTTCCCCCAAAGGCTGTCCGGAGATCCTCACTGCTGTGCTACATGCGTGATATGGACGCAGCTGTACTGACGCACCTGGGACCAGTACAGCAGGGCACAGTGGTTGGGGATATGCCTCTGCCTTTAAGATCTCGCTCCCCATAGCTACAGCACTGTGTGACATCCACACTCAATATTAAACTGGTCTTTGAAGTCATTGAATTGTTAGGGATTTGTCGTTATTGTATATCCTTGCTATGCGGCCACATGCCGGATGTAAGACTTGTCTATTATTTCCTTTATGAATAGAGCAATACATTGCACACATGCTGTCACCCCTTCTATAGTCCGTCTAAAACATGCACACATACAGAGCTAGATGCTGCTTACCTCTCCAGTAGCTTACAGGATAAAGTCCTGTCAACTTTATCTTCAGTTAAGACAACTTCACAATTTAAGTTCACAAAACTTAACATTTTAAGGCAGCACGAACACTTACTTTTTTAAGTTGAAACAACACATTTTTTTTTTTACAGTGTATGACCCCTTTAATGGATCCCATAATGACCTGTATCTGAATCCAAATTAACCACAATTTTTTCTAAACAACAGAATGCACATGCTGTAGAAAATCTGAGCAAAAAAAAAAGCAATTTGCTGTTTTACACCACATCCAAATCATTACAGGATGAATTGCGGAGAATTTAGTGGCAAACATGCTCACAGATTTTTCAGATTATATATTCAGTTGTCTAGAGATAGCAAAAATGTAATGTGTGAAAGTTACCCTGAATATCAAAATATAAAAATGTAAATATTAAGCATTTGAAGTACATATTGCATAATTTTAGAAAGTTGACCCCCCTTCTTCTAAAAAAACAGTTAATATTTTGCCAAATTTCAGAGATATTATTAGATGGATGGATGGATGGATGAAAGAAACTAAGTTACTTCTAAAAACAGTTAATATTTTGCCAAATTTCAGAGATATTATTATTATAAATGTATCAAAATCATATTTAGCCTATGTATTTTAATTATATTTAATACAATTATTTTTAAAGTGACAGTGAGACAGGTGCAGCATAGATAGATAGATAGATAGATAGATAGATCACATCAGCAGCACAGCAAGCGAGCGGTGGCGGGTTGTGTGTGACTGAATTCTGACGTTGCCCCTATATACCTAGTAAACCAATCAAATGCGAGCGGGCGACACGACGCGACGCTCCACAAGCTGAACGCACCCGTTATACCCCTTGTCCAAATACCCACATTTGCGGTCTTGGCCACTTGAGAGCGCGTGCGCGCGACAGGAAGTAAGTGCGCAAGACTGTCCCAGATCTTAAAGGGGTCATATGATGCTGCTAAAAAGAACATTATTTTGTGTATTTGGTGTAATGAAATGTGTTTATGCGGTTTAAAGTTAAAAAAACACATTATTTTCCACATACTGTACATTATTGTTTCTCCTCTATGCCCGCCTTTCTGAAACGCGTCGATTTTTACAAAGCTCATCGGTCTGAAAAAGCGAGGGGTGCTGTGATTGGCCAGCTATCCA